TCTCCAATGCTATTTTACAGCTTGACCTCTTCTGACATAATTTCTCTAAATGATCTGAAATTCTCTATGTCCAGATTTTCCTGTCTCTTGGGATTCCAGTCCCTGCCAAACCTGTCAAATGGGCTTGGCCAAATCCTCTGGCCCCACTGACTCTCCTGACATTCTAAACCACACTTCCGTTACTCTCTTCCATTCTCTCCAACAGCTGGACTGATTGAGGCCACACATTCTTCCCCTGACAAACCACTTTTATTTATTTTGAGACGGAGTCTCACTCTGTTGCCAGGCTGGAGTGCAGTGTGATCTCAGCTTACTGCAACCTTCGCCTCCCAGATTCAAGTGATTCTCCTGCCTCAGCCTCCTGAATAGCTGGGACTACAGGTGTGCACCACCACACCCAGCTATTTTTTGTATTTTTCGTAGAGATGGGGGTTTTTCACCACGTTAGCCAGGATAGTCTCGATCTTCTGACCTTGTGATCAGCCTTCCTTGGCCTCCTGAAGTGCTGGAATTAGAGGTGGGAGCCACAGCAGCAGCCATAGCACCCAGCCTCTCACAAACCACTTTTATGTTCAATTACACGTACTCCATCTGCTTCTTCTCTCTTACCTTCCCTAGATATCCCAACCTGGGATGTCATTTTTCCGTGCCTCCTCCTTATGAGGAGCCGTTCTCCTTCTTTTCGGCACTGGCATCTCAACTTACTTGTCAAACGTGTGTCTTCTAGAATTCAGCACCTTCGCCTTCAAATGCTGCAAACAGTATATCAGTCTCTCCCCAAAGATGACTGCTACCTTCTCTGCTGTGCTACCTGCTGCACTCTTGTAATGTATCTTCACACTTTTTCTAAAATAATCTACCTTCCTTTACCCATAATTTTCTTGGCAAATTCTTTTAATCACCTGTGATGCCAGCCCCAGCCAGTCTCAACCTGCAACACTGGAGCCTTTAGGAGGTCATTAAGTCATGAGATCAGTGGGATTCGTATCCTTATAAAAGGGCTGGAGGGAACTAGCTAGATTCCTTTGCCCTTTCACCTTTGCCGTTTGAGGACATAGCATTCAGTCCCTCTGTCATGCGAGGATGCAGCAACAAGGCACCATTTGGAAGTAAAGAGCAGCCCTCATGAGACACTGAACCTGCTGGTGTCTTGATCTTGAATTTCTCAGCCTCTAGAACTGTAAGAAATACATTTATATTCTAATTACCCAGTCTGTGGCATTTGTTACAGCAGCACAAAACAAATTAAGATACCATCTTAACAATATTAAGTCTTCCTATCAGTGAACGTAAAATATCTTTTGATATATAAAGGTCTTAATTTGTTTTAATAATTTTTGTGGTTTTTGGAGTGTAAATCTTGAACTTCATTTGTCAAATATATTCCTAAGTACTTGATTCTTTTTGATGTTACTGTAAATGGAATTGTTTTCTTCATTTTATTTTCAGACTGTTCATTGCTAGTGTATGGAAATACTATTAATGTGTATAATTGATCTTGTAGCCTGTGACCTTGTTGAACTTATTAATGTTAATATTTTTAGTGAAATCCTTATGATTTTCTATATACAAGATCATGCCATCTAAGAAATAGAGATAGTTGGCTGGGCGTGGTGGCTCACGCCTGTAATCCCAGCAGTTTGCGAGGCAAAGGTGGGTGGATCACCTGAGGTTGGGAATTCAAGACCAGCCTGACCAACATGGAGAAACCCCATCTTTACTAAAAGCATAAAATTAGCCGGGAGCGCTAGCACATGCCTGTAATCCCAGCTACTCCAGAGGCTGATGCAGGAGAATTGGTTGAACGCAAGAGGCGGAGTTTGCAGTGAGCCAAGATTGCACCATTGCACTCCAGCCTGGGCAGCAAAAGCAAAACTCCAAAAAAAGAAAAAGAAAAAGAAATAGAGATAGTTTTCCTCTTGCTTTCTAATCTGGATATTCTTTACGTCATTGCATTGCTTAAATTCCCTGGCTAGATCCTACAGTATAATGTTGAGCAGAAGCTGCAAGAGCAGATATCCTTGTCTTATTTCTTATGTTAGGGAGAAAGCATTCAGTATTTTGCCATTAAGAATGATGTCAGCTGTGGATTTTTTTAGATGTCCTTTATCAGGCTTAGGAATTTCCCCACTATGCCCAGTTTGTTGAGTATTTTTATTGTTAAGGGACGTTGGGTGTTCGTTTTTAAAATGCTTTTTCAGCCTCTGTTGAGATGATCATGTGATTTTTTTGTCCTCTATTCTGTTAATACTGTATAGTGGATGGATTACATTAAATGACTTTCATATGTTAAACTGACCTTGCATGTTTGGGATAAATCCCACTTGGTCGTGGCTTATAATCCCTTTTATATGATGCTGGATTCAGTCTGCTAGTATTTTGTTGGAGATTTTTACATCTTTATTTGCACCCAACTGTTAGGTTCCACTAATTATCAACAAATTGCTTTACTGTTGTATGCTTTAACCTGGGGTGCAAATTGCTCCATAGTCTGATCCACTGAAATGTGGGCCCTTTTGCAGGGATAGTTTTGAAAGACTGTCTTTGAGGTTTGTCCTGACCCAGGAAGGGTGCTCTTGGCTGTCTTTTCCCCTGGTTCTTTCCGGTACTCTAGCTAGCCTACAGTTTAGCTTATTGTTCTCACACGGCTACCAGCCTTCTTTTAATTGCTTACCACCAGCCTCTTCATTGTTTTCAAAAAGTGCCCCTAAGCTTGAGCTCCCCACACTTGGTTCCAAATAAAGTCAGTTCCCTTGGGGAAAGCATAGACACTCTTTGCTCTTACGGTCTACTTCTCTTATGTGCAAAATCTCTGTACTACTGCTTCCAACTTGGTGCAGAGACAGTGGCCTGCTTGTTTCAGAGTGACTGCCTCTGCAGGGCACATCACGGAGGTGGTCAGCCTCTTGTGTTTCTGGCTTGCTTCTCCTCATGTGGAACCTCTGCCCTATGAGTGAACTAGGGTTAGGGTGATTGGGGCCCCAGTATTACTGTAACCACCCAAGGGGTTCTTCCTGCCTGCAGCATAAAGAAAGATGACAGTTTTGCAGTAAAGAAAGAGTTTAGTAGACACAAGGCCAGTCATACCACCTGGGAGAAGGAGTTGGTGCTCAAGTTATCTCATCCCAAACTGATAGATTAGAGGTTTTTCAGAAGCAGTTTATGGGAAAGGGGAGGGGTGGCTAGACTTGTTGCGGATTGATTGGGCGGCAGATGAAATCGAGCGGGTTGAAGCTATCCTCCTGTGGGCTGCATTGCTTCTCGCTAGGGCCACAGGAATTGGGTTGGTAGGTCCAGGTGGAGCCATGGTTGTTAGACATGTGAAAAACCTGAAAAGATATCTCAAAAGTGTCGGGGTCCGGCACGTCTGCCGGGGGACTACTGACCTGCAGGAGTCCCCAGGACCGCCAACGTAGATGTCTCGTTCAACCTGAGGGAGAGAGTGCGCGGAAATGAAAGAAAATAGAAAAGCGGAGTCTGGAGGGCTGGCTTAGGCTATGTCCAAGCAGCAATCTTATTTTTGCAATATGTTTCCTTATATACTTTTCTGAAGTCAAAGTTGTTTACACCATATCAACATACTTAAGTTACAGTAAGCAAGTTACGCCCACTAAGTTATGCCCAGTAAGTAAGTTAATCCCATTAAGTAGGTTACGCCCAGTAAGTAGGTTACTTTCAGTAAGTAGGTTACTTTCAGTAATTAGGTTACGCCCAATAGATCAATGTAAGTAAGTTACAGTCACACCCAGTAAGCTATGAGAAGTAAGTTACAGTTACACCCAGTAAGTTACAGTAAGTAAGTTACCAAGTGTAAATACTTAAGTTAATATTTTACAATGAAGGTAACAAGGGTCCAAAATGAACACAATCAAGCAATAAACCATAAGAAGCCAAAAGTGGACACACTGACTCCCAAGTCCTCATATTCATAAAGTAATGTCTGTTAACTATTTAGAATAACATAGTCCCTCTCTCAGTTCCTGCTTTCCCTCAGCTCGACTCCCCCAACCGGGGATCTGTGTCCGGGCTCAAGCTCACCATATGGCGAGGCCCATTTCCCAGGGGCCTCACACAGGAGCGATCCCCACAGATTCCCTCACAAAAGGCCAATCTACAATAGTGGTGTTATCTGCAGGCATAATTGGGGAAGTGGCATATCTTATAACCTCTAAAGTAATGGCTGACAATTGCTTGTGTCTGGGCCTTAGCAGGATTTAGGCTCCCTTCTCCCGAGCCTGATGGCTTCCCAAGAGCTTTGTTGAGTTTTGGGCAAGGCCCGTTATCATCTAAACAATACCCTAAGTGTCTTGCAAAGTTAGCTCGGCCCAATAGCCCAGGAATAGTTAAGGGAAAGTCAAGATCCAGGGTGGACTAGCTCAGATCTCTTTCACTCTCATAATTTTCTCATTGACACAATCTTTGCAAAGGCGGTTTCATTCTTGGCTTGCCACTCCTGGATAGAGCCTCTAACCTAAAATGGGATCTGGGTGAAGAAAGAGAGCCTCTAACCTCTTGGCAGCACCTGCCTGGAATTTAGCTTCTGAAACAGAGTTTGGGGGTAACAGAAATGCTGGTGGTCTGCCCCTAACAAGGAGATGGCACAGTGCTTGGCTGGCAGCCCGGTCTTCATGGCCACAGCTACCCAAAGTGGAGCATCTGTGCTGCTGCGCTGGGGGAAGTGGGCAAGAGAGGGAGCAGACTGCAGCTTAAGTGCCATAGACTCTCTCTGTTCTTACTGAGATTCTGTAGAGTTTCTTGAATAAATGTTTCTTCAATTACTGCACGCCCTTAGGACAATTTCCAGGGACTTTAAAAAGTTGTTGTTTTTCAAAATAATTTCACCAGTTGCGGTTGTTTTGTTGGGGAGAGGTGTTTGGAGCTCTTCACTTTGACACAGCCAAGTATAAAGGGATCACCAGAAAACCTCCAACCAATCTGTGCCCTGGGAGGAGTGCACACTGGGGTGGAGCCTCGGGAAGGGCAAGTTCCTACCGTTTGTAGGGCGGTGGAGCCTGGCCTCTCCTGTTCTGGGTGGAACCTGGGATTCAATCTGTGAGGTGAGAAGACTAGTAGCAGGACACTTGCTCTGCTGATTCCCTGATTCCCTGTTTCCTGGGCAGGGTGCAGGAGTGTTGGGTGTGGGAGCTTTCAGGTAGATTTAAAATTTTCTGGTTGAGAATTAGTTGAATTTATTTAAAGACCTGGAAGTGTCTGGGTTGTGGTAAGAGGTTGTGGAGACCAAAGTTCCATCATGCAGATAAAGTCTCCAGGTAGCAGGCTTCAGAGACACTAGATTATAAACGCTTTTTGTCAGACTCGAAGATCTGTGTTGATATTAATGTCGGGGAGTTATAATGAGGCATGCCTGATCCTTGCTTTGCATCATGTCCTGAACCAGTCTCTCGGGTTAAATTTTAAGAACACCCTGGCCGAGGGAAGGTCCGTTCAGATGGCTGAGAGGCCTTAGAATTTTATTTCTGGTTTACACTTACTTCCTTGTGATCTTGTAAATGAGCAGCTTGGCTTCAAGCTGCATTTTAAAACTTTGTTTTCTTTCCTCCTTTCTCCACAATCTGAAGATACAGCTTTGAGACAAACCGCATATGTGTTTCCTTTCATCTTGAAATACAGCCTTGGAATGTGCTGATTCTCCACTCCTTTCCCTTTCCCACTTTATGTTCCCATGCCTTATGCACATTTATTTACCCAAATGCTTGTTAAACACATACCATACTCTATCCGGCCATGTATTTCCTTAGAAGTTTCAGGGTCGGGATCCTGGTGTTGCAGTAGGTAGTCAGACAGGAGCAGGGCAGGAGAGACTCCCCCACTCCACAACAGGAATGTCAGGCGACCATCAGGTGATGGTCACACTGTCTGTCTCACTGTCACACTGCCTGGAGCCAGGAAAAGGCAGTCTCCCAATAGATAGAAAAACCTGAAATATCGCCATTCCAGGTCTGCTTCCTGATAAGCTGAGCGGCTTCCTGATAAGATCTCAGGAGTTGGGCAAGTGGGCTCAAGCCTGCTCACTAAGAGGCAAAATGGCAGAGTTTAACTGGTATATGACCTTGTTACAGGAACTCTCAACCAGGAGGAGAATAATGCCTCAAGCGAGCATGTGCACAACTTCAGTAAACACACTGTGCCTGTGGCCTCTCCCAGCTGCTGGCAGGCCACCACTCATGTGGAATGCCAATGTATAGAACCCCAAGCCAAAGGTCAGACCGTGCAGTTGATCTCTCAAGTCACCCATTTGGCACTTTTCTGAGTGTACTTTACTTCTTTTCGTTTCTACTCTAATACTTTTTTATTTTTTGAGACTGAGTTTCACTCTTTTGCCCGGCACCAGGTTGGAATGCAGCGGCCCGATCACGGCTCACTGCAACCTCCGCCTCCCAGCTTCCAGCAATTCTCCTGACTGAGCCTCCCGAGTAGCTGGGACAACAGGCGTCCACCACCATGCCCAGCTAATTTTTGTATTTTAGTAGAGAAGGGGTTTCACTACGTTGGCCAGGATGACCTCGATCTCTTTGACCTCGTGATCCTCCCACCTCGGCCTCCCAAAGTGCTGGGATTACAGGTGTGAGCCACCATCCCTGGCCTACTCTAATACTTTTAAATAAACTTTTGCTCCTGATCTAAAACTTGCCTTGGTCTCTCACTCTGCCTTATGCCTCTTGGTTGAATTCTTTCTTCTGAGGAGGCAAAAACTGAGGTTGCTGCAGATTTGCTACGACTAACACTGATATTGTATTAGTTAGGGTTCTCTAAAGGGGCAGAATTAACAGGATGTATGTCTATATGAAGGGGAGTTTATTAGGAGAATTGACTCACATGATCACAAGGTGAAGTCCCACAATAGGCCGTCTGCAAGCTGAGGAGCAAGGAAGCCAGTCTGAGTCCCCAACCCTCAAAAATAGGGACGCCAATGATGCAGCCTTTGGTATAGAACCGAAGGCCTGAGACCCTGGCAAATCACTGGTGTAAGTAAGTCCAAGAGTCCAAAAGCCAAAGAACTTGGAGCATCTGACACAGGAGAAAGATGAAGGCTGGAAGACTCAGTAAGTCTCTCTCATTCCACGTTCTTCCGCCTGCTTTATTCTAGCCATGCTGGCAGCTGATTAGATGGTGCCCACACAGAATGAAGGTGGGTCTGACTCTCCCAGTCCGTTGACTCAAATGTTAATCTCCTTTGGCGGCACCCTCACAGACACACCCAGGAACAATACTTTGCATCCTTCAATCCAATCAAGTTGGCACTCAATATGAACCATCACATGTCCACCCCTTGTCAACTTCAACCCATACTCATCTCCTGAAATTATACATAATCTTCAGACAAATGTAATAAAAAGGTCATAATTATGCCTAACAAAATACAGCTATCCTTCATACAACCAGAAGTACACTAATCCTTAACCTAAATGCTATTACATCAAGTTAACAACACTTAAATGTTGACATGAAGTCCATAAATCTATGTCACATGATAAAGGAAAAAGAAAGGAAATAAAATGAAGATATTTTCTTAGTACAAGTGTATACATGCACAAACATGTTTTTAAAATAAGGAGGAAATAGTCATGACAGTCCTAGGTTCTGCAACGGGTCACATGGTCATAGCTGGTATTGATGATATCTTCTTCTACTTCCCATTCTGCATTAACTTTGCCTTCAGCAAGCACCTCAGCGGGTCATCGTTTTTTACCTGGTGAAGTGACCTAAACTTTCACTCCTGAAGGATCTGGGCCATTTATAGCCCTGCTTGGATTGCATTGCTGTAGTTTTCCATTGACCTTAATCACAGGGCATGGTAATACTAACAGGTAATACTAACATGGTAATACTAACAGGTGCCCTAAGGGATTGCCTATATTTTATGCATAGTCTTCCTTACCTCCATTATAGAGTAATAGACTGATTTCATCTTGATAGTCTAGGTCAACCACCCCAGCCAACACCGTAACTTCCTTCTTAGTCTATTGACTTAGAGGTAAGAGAAGCCCAAAGTGCCTAGGTGGCAATTTTAACTTCCAGTTTAATGGAATTGTTGCTGTGTCTCCTGGTGGCAGCATTCCTTCATCTGGAACTAAGATCTTAGGCCAGCAGATTGTAATGTCACAGGAACAGGAAGGAAATATTTTGCTAGGGTCACTAGGGGTGATGGTGCGTGGTGCCACTTCTACTTCCACCCCTTGATTCCTGGACCCATGAATCCTGGCTATGGGGAAACAGTACCATATATTGGACTCTGATTTGAAGCATACGCAGCCTTCTGGAGAATTTTGCCCCAGCCCTGCAAAGTAGTGTCACCTCATTGGCATTGTAATTATGACTTCAAAAGGCCATTCTACCATTCTGTCAATCCAGCTACTTCGGGATGATGGGGAGCATGGTAAGACCAGTGAATTCCATGAACATGAGCCCACTGCTGCGCTTCTCTAGTTGTAAAGTGAGTGCCTTGGTCAGAGGTAATGCTGTGTAGAAGACCATGACAGTGCATAAGGCATTCCATGAGTCCACAGATGGTTATCTTGGTAGAAGCACTGTGTGCAGGATAGGAAAACCCATATCCAGAGTGTCTGTTCCAGTGAGGACAAACCTCCGCCCTTTCCATGATGAAAGAGGCCAATATAATCAACCTGCCACCAAGTAGCTGGCTGATCACCCCAGGGAACGGTTCCACATCGAGGGCACAAGTCTCCCAGTTCTCGATACTCATCCACGTGTTAATTGCTTCCAAATTTATATCTCCAGGCCAAGCCTCCCTTCCAAACTGCACACTTATATAATGTGCCACCTCCTGGACATTTCCACATTGCCTAACAGGCTTCTCAAACTACTTGCACAAAACAGCTCCTGGTCTTCCCCTCCAAACCTGCTCCTTCCAGCCCTCCTCATCATTCCAGCTGCTCAAGCTAAAAACATGAGTTGCCATTGACTCTTTCTTACTCTATGTCCAATGTATCAGCAAATTCTGTTGGCTCTACCTTCAAAACTTATTCTAAATTGGATTTCTTACAGCATCTACTGTGCTGTTTCAACTCACCATTATCTTTTTTATTTTTTGAGATGGTGTCTTACTCTGTCGTCCAGGCTGGAGTGCAGTGGCCCGATCTCAGCTCACTACAACTTCTGCCTCCTGGGTTCAAGTGATTCTTGTGCCTTAGCCACTGAGAAGCAGGGATTACAGGCACGCACCATCATACCAAGCCAATTCTTGTATTTTTAGTAGAGATGGGGTTTCACCATGTTGGCTGGGCTGGTCTCGAACTCTTAACCTCAGGTGATCCACCTGTCTTGGCCTCCCAAAGTTCCGGGATAGCAGGCATGAGCCACCACATTGGGTTACCATTATCTCTTGATTAGATTATTTTGAAAGCCAACTAAGTGGTCTTTCTTTGTCTACCCCTGCCCTCCTCTTCAGTCAACTCTGATCCAAACAATCGGAATAACCCAGTTGCCTCTCTCACCTCATCTCCTACTGCTGCCTCCCTTGCTCCAGCTACCCTGGGCTGCTTGTTGATTCTTGAGTAAATAAAGCATGTCTGCCTCAGGACTCTGGCACATGCTGTTCCCTCTGCCTGGAACGCCCTTTCCCCATATCCACATGGTTCACTTCTTCATCAGGACCTCTGTCCAATATACCTTCTCCTCTGGCCTGAAATTCTGCAATTAGAGAATCATTCCCATGTACTTTACAAAAATTTCTTTTTCAAAATCAAATATACCTGAAAGGGAGAATACACTAAATCTTTATCAGACACTAATAGCCTAGCATTAAGTGTTTACTACATTGGGGTTGGCACAGTGTCTCACACCTGTAATGCTAGAACTTTGGGAGGCCGAGGTGGGCAGATCACCTGAGGTCAGGAGTTCGAGACCAGCCTGGCCAACATGGTGAAACCACGTCTCTACTAAAAATACAAAAAACAGGCATGGCGGTGGAGACCTGCAATCTCAGCTTCTAGGGAGGCTGAGGCAGGAGAATTGCTTGAACCCAAGAGGCAGAGGTTGCAGTGAGTCGAGATCATGCCACTGCACTCCAGCCTGGGTGACAGAGCAAGACTCCATCTCAAAAAAAAGAGTGTACTATATTGTTTTTCATGCAGATAACTAGTTGAGAGCGGGGCGGAAATGGTAACCTAGCAAGTTTTGAATAGTGCTCTCCCCAATAAAGATTAGGAGGGAAAAGCAGGAGCGGAGGACCTGGCACTGTGAACAAAGAGCACAGGGCACAAGGGAGGCAACTGGGTGATTTGCAATCTCGGAAAGGGAAGGTGGAAAGGATGTGAAACACACTCTGTCCATTCCAAGACGTTGCACACTATCACATTAGCATAGGGAAAATGAAGGGACCTCCCACGGGAGGTGTGTATGCCCCAGTTCTTTAAGGAAAAAAGATACAACTCAGAAATGACCAAAACATATCAATGTACAGTATGGGACTGGCCAAACAAGTTGTGAAGGGCAAGTGTCAGCTGTTTTATGCTACCGTGTAAGAAAACTACATTTATTTTTATTTTTATTTTATTTTATTTTTTTATTGCATTTTAGGTTTTGGGGTACATGTGAAGAGCATGCAAGATAGTTACATAGGTACACACGTGGCAGTGTGATTTGTTGCCTTCCTCCCCTTCACCTATATCTGCCATTTCTCTCCATGCTATCTCTCCCCAACTCCCCACCCCCCTGCTGTCCCTTCCCTATTCCCCCCTATTTTTTGAGGCAGAGTCTCACTCTGTCGCCCAGGCTGGAGTACAGCGGAGCGATCTCGGTTCACTGCAACCTCTGCCTCCCAGGTTCAAGCGATTCTTGTGCCTCAGCCTCTGAAGTATTATAGCTGAGACAATGGGTGCACCACCATGCCAGGCTAATTTTTGTAGAAAAATACATTTTATATTAAGATTTAAAAACCAAAACAAAGAAAAACGACTGGTGTTTGTGTAATGAAGAATTATCACTAAGCAAAGAAAAGTCCTACCTTTGTTTCCACTTTTGGAAGTTTTCCTTGAATCCTTTGAAATTTCCTGAATTACAGGAGTGAAATCAGCCTGACCTCCAGGGAAGGAGGGTGGTGGGAAATTGCGTTCAGCGAATTCCAGCCAACCTCAATTATACCCGTGTAATGACTGAGTTATTATCTACTGAAGCCTCGATATAGAGGCTGGACATCAAACGAGGAAGAGCTTCATAGGTTGGCACACATTCCTGAGGACACTCTTAGTTCTGGATCTGCCATATGGGCCTCCTTCTTTGGTTGGTTCTAATTTGTATTCTGTCATTATAATAAAACTGTAATTGTCATCCCCAAGTTCTGTGAGTCTTTCTAGAAAATTCTTGAACCTGAGGGTGGTCATGGGAACCTTCTAATTTGTAGCGGGCTGGTCTGAAGTGAGTAAATTTTGCATACAATGAGTGAAATGGGGCATATTTTATTTAATTAAGAGCAACTATATTCTCCGCATACAGATGGCCTTTCCCAGGGGAAGAGAGAATTTGTTGACCTCAGCAAGACCAAAATTGGTTATCTAAGGAAACTTTTAGTCCAGAGTCTTGAGAGAGCCTGTCCCAGAATTGGTATCCAGATATCCCACTCCTAACATATGCTAGTTCTTGAGTGCATGGAAAGA